CCTTTGTTATAAGTATTATGCCACGGGCAGATGAAGGAAACCATTGTCACACAACTACTAAATGATAGAGCGTCCTTCACTTCAAGCTCAGAACCTTTTGCCTAATCATGGTGCCTCCATGCAGGGCTGGGTGTTTTCCTTCTTTTTCTGGAGGTAGGGTGCAGTTTTCCTTCTTTCTGCTTGTTTGAGAGTAGCCCTTTTCCCTCATATAATTGCCTGCCTACCTTTCATTCATTCATTCATTCATTCTTGCTTTTTTGAGAGAGATTCTCACTATGTAATTCAAGCTGGCCTGGAACTCACCATGTAGCAAGGCTGGCCTCGAATTTAGGGCAAGCCTCCTACCTCACCCTCCCGAGCATTGAGATTACAGGCCAGCACCACTTCACCCAGCTAATTACATTCTTTTTAAATCTTGTATTTACACCTCTGTTCTTAACCTTTCTTTTTTTTTTTTTTGGTTTTTCTCCGGTACCAGGAACTGAACTCACGACCTTGCGCTTGCCAGGCAGGCACTTTTGCCGCTGAGCTAAATCCCCAGCCCCTGTTCTTAACCTTTCATTTGCAGGGGCTGGGGATTTAGCTCAGTGGTACAGCGCCTGCCTGGCAAGCACAAGGTCGTGAGTTTGATTCCTGGTACTGGGAAAACAAAAACCTTTCATTTGCCACCTTCATAGTAAATTTTTTAAATTTCAGGGGGAAAAAAGCAATTCATAATTATTTGTAAAAGCTTTCATTTGTGGACAATTTGTTATAGCACATGCTTCTCAGCACTTGTCTGGGATGTTTATCAGTATGTGTTCACTATTACTTTCTTTTGTAGCTATAAGGTGGTTCTATCTTTTAATTTCATGTTTACATCTTTGAAATTCCCATATGGGAAAAAATATCAATGCTAGTCACAGAAAAATATTTATTATTTTCTCTTTCATCAGTTTTCTATTTTTGTGACATACTTAGCATATTGTACAATGAAGAGGTAATATCATTATTTGGACATTTCCACATTGGTTTATCTAGTTGTTTAGCTTTATGTGGCTAGGTGTTGAGGCATCAGTGATTTTGAAAATTAATGTTGTATACCTGTGTTTTATTTTTATATATCTGCATATCGTATATTCAAAATAACCAAAATATAAACTCATTGTCAATGACTGTATGTAGAACTGAGTTGAAACTTTATGATAAAACTAAGGAATGGGCTGGGGATATAGCTCAGCAGCATAGTGCCTGCTTGGCAGGCACAAGGCCTTGAGTTCAATTCCTGGTATCAAAAAAAACCTAAGGAATATTTTAATTTTCTGTGACCAAATATTGCAATTTTTTCTTCGTTTTGTTTTGTTTGTTTTATGGTGTTCGAGATCCAGCTCTGATCATCATGTGTGCTAGGTAGCAAGTACCCTACTACAGGTTTACATTGTGAGACTATCTCAAAAAAAAAAAAATTAGGAAGGAAGTCACTGCTAACAGTGATGGCATAAAGGCATGTCATAGCTGTCTTCTTTGGTACATACTCCATATCCATCATCTGAGCATCTGTTGAATTTGTCAAATTGTTCACAACTTGAGTAGCTCTCCCACGCCATGAAGTGCATTCATATCACACAGCCTGTAACAAAAATAATACCTTATATTGCAGTTGGTGCTTTTGCAACTGTTGAGTTTTGGATCATTCCACATGATATAATGGAAGTTAAATGGATAAATTGTTAGCAGTATACTCATTTTCCACAGGAAAGGTAAATATTAACTTGAACATAGTCACATGTCTAGTTATCAGCAGATCTAGAAGTTGACACTAATATTCTTGTATTATGATTATCCTTACTATTCACTAAATACCTTCTTTGGTTTTTTTGTTGGTTGGTTGGTTGGTTGGGTTTTTTTGTTTTTGTTTGTTTTTGAGAAAGGGCTCGCTATGCAGTTCAGGCTGGCCTTGAGCTCACTTTTTACTCTGGACTGGTCTTGAACTTGCAATGATTCTTCTGCCTCAGCCCCCCAGTGCCAGGATTACAGATGTGTACCATCACACCCAGTTTATACCTTCTTTATTTGAGATTATTCTTGTTATCACTCATTATATCTGTTGAAAAATGAGGCCTACACAAACAAACAAACAAAAAAGACTAGAAAGGAGAAATAATTTGGTAAAATCCACGTAGGTTACAAGTAACAGAATAAAGATTCATATCAAATCTCTCAGTCCCCATAACTGCTTTTCCTGCTTTATATTGCTTGAAAGAAGAGAAGCAAGACTAGACTTGAAGGTGTGTGGATAGTGAAGTGTGCTGGAAATGGGTAATCATCTGTGAGCAGTGTTCTCAAAGCTGGATTTTGCCACCTACGTACGCATCCAGTTGGTTACAGCAGACAATTCAGTGTTCCGTCGTGGAACTGCTCCAATTTTATCTTGTCAAGTGGTGGATGTTAAAATATATCTCACTGCCAAGGTCTCCTCAGGCCTTTGGTGCTCTTTCTTTAAGGGCAGGTGGTCTGAAGAAAGGCATCCTGTAGGTCATTAGATAATGTACACATTGTTTTTATATATGTCCATACTGTATATGGAGTAGAAGACAACTGTCACTACCTTCCTTCCCTTCTCCCCTGCCCCCTCCAGAAAGTTTGGACTCAGATTGAAGAGCTAAAAACATATCAAATGTTCTCTGAAGGGGACTGAGAAAACTCTATCAGGGAGAAAAAACCAAGTTCATTATTCCACTAATCAGACAGGATGACCATTAGTTTCACAAACAAAAGGTCCTGAACAAAGAAAGGATAAGAGGTGGCAGTGTTGTGCACGTGGTCCTCAGAATGCTGCCCTTTTCGTAATGGGATTTATGACTTGGAAACTTGGCTTCGTTGACTTTCTTTATTCATTATATTCCTTTCGAAAATTGTGGTCATTGATAACTAAATCATAAAGATAATATTTGGGAATATTTTTCTCATTAGAAAGAGTCCCATGAATGTGCGAAGGTATGCCCAGTTGTTAGTATCATGAGTGAACACTTTGGTGTTTTATCTTTATGTCTGTGTCTTTCAAAAAGCAATCTTTGACTTAATATTCATGTTTGAACCTTCGCTGTCCATTTCCTTGCATTTTCAATTGAATTCAGCAATTACTGGATATTGAATATGTGGTACTTAAGTGAAAAATTTGAAATTATTGAGAAAAATGTGGTTCAATTTAAAGGTGACCTGGTATCAACCAAGTATTTAAGAAATCTTTAGGGAAAAAACCAATTTTTTTTTAAAGTCTGGGTGTGACAGCACACACCTGTAATCCAAATGCTTTGGGAAGCTAAGGCAGGAGAATTCCAAGTTTGTGCTACTTAGCAAGTTTGAGGGCAGCCATGTTGCCCAGGCTGGCCTTAAACTCCTGGGCCATCCCACTAAGTAGCTAGGACTATAGGTGGTAGTAGCTACCATCCAGTCCAGTGAAAATAACTTCTTAAAGATACATATGTATTAGCATTTTTTAAAGAAAAGTATTAGTAGGGCCTGGGATTTAGCTGAGTAGTACAGTGCCTACCTGGCAAGTGTAAGGTCCTGAGTTCAAGGCGTGCTACCCGCCCCCAAAAAGATATTAGTCTTATTCCTGTGAACCAAGGCCTAATTTTGATCTAATTTCTCTCTGGAATTTTGTTGTCCTTTTTTTAAAAGACAAGGTCTCACTATGCAGTTCAGGTTGGCCTTGAACTCACTGTGTAGCATAGGCTAGCCTGAAACTCGCAGCTGTCCTCCTGCCTCACCTTTCCTAGTGCGAGGATTACAGAGGTGTGCCACCACACTTGGCTTGTTGCCCTTTAATATTATCAAACAGCTGCTAATTATGAGTTAGCCCATGGGTGAAATAGCCTGTATGTGGTTTAGAATCAACTCTACGTTTTATCTGTTTTTAACCATAAATGTCACAGGTGACATTTATATGCCTGACATTAGAAATACTGACTCCACCTTTTTTTCTAGTATAGTTGGTATATATATTTAGTACTTCATCATAATAGTATTTTATATACCACTAATTATGATTCTATTTCTGTGTCATGCAATTGAAACCTCCTGTTTTGTTTTGTTTTGTTTTGTTTTGTTGAAGCCTTTTGGTTTAGATTCTATAATAGCTCTTTTTCGCTACAAATTTCATTCATTTGTAAGAAGTCCCGAATGCGTTTGAGTTGAGGTAAGCCAAGTTTGTAACCTGGTTTCTTCCTTTCTCAGAACCATTACTTTCAGTTCACATCACCTGTGTCCTTCTTCCCTTATTGTAATTGTTGGGGTTGACAGAGCAATCCACACTGGGTGGCTTATGACAAGTGAAATTTATTCTCTCACAGCTTAGGAGATCAGAAGTACAAATTCAAATCAAGGTATTAGCAGAGCTGATTCTTCTTGGGACCACAGAGAAAGAAACCAGTTTCATGGCTGCCTTCTAGCTTTTGGTGGTTGTTAATGATGCGTTGGCATTCCTTGATTTGTAGATGTATTGCTCCTAGCTCTGCCTCTATTATCACATAGTTGTGTCTCTATCATTTTCTTCACATCCATTCCCCTCTGTATATGTGTCTCTTCCCTCTCTCTCTCTCTTTTTTTTTTTTTTTTTTGAGACAGTGTCTCACTATATAGTGCAGGCTGGTCTTGAACTTGCTTATGTAGCCCAGGTTGGCCTCTAACTCATGGTGATCCTTCTACTTCAGCCTCCTGAGTGCTGGGATTACAGGTGGCATGTGCCACCATTCCCAGCCTTGTGTTGCTTCTCTTTAATTATGCCATTCAGATTGGATGATCTTCCCTCTGAAGAACCTTACTTTAATTACATCTTCAAAGACCCTTTTCCCAAATAAGAGACATATCTTTTTTGGGAGCTGACATTCCAATCATTGTACTAAGCATGCTCTTAACCTTTTAATTCCTCAGGAAAATATGTTGGTATTTCAAATTGTTTTTGCTACTTTTGTTGTCTTATAGGAAACTCTGACCTCTGTTTCTTTTCTTCTCTGCAGTTGGTTCTGATAAAAGGGTCCCAGCAATGCCTGGATCGCCTGTGGAAGTGAAGATACAGTCAAGATCCTCACCTCCCATCATGCCACCCCTCCCACCAATAAATCCTGGAGGACCGAGGCCAGTGTCCTTTACTCCTACAGCATGTGAGACCTCTTAATTACTTGGATTTATGGCTCAGAGTGACATTTAACTCTGTGGCTAACTTCCATTAAATCTTCTACATATACTATTCAACATTTTCAAGTAGTATTACAGTTAAAATACTGCAATTGGTCACTCATGTATAGCTGTATTTATTTTCTTTAGAAGCCACTTTGAAGATACCAAAGTATAGTACAACAACTATTGATAATCTCCTACCTCTTTTGTCTGTAACTCACTATTATTTGTCTATTTGTTTTCCTGAGAAACTATCTTGTAGATAACAAAATGTAAAACAGTAACCATTGATAATTTCCTACCACTTTGTCTGTAATTTGGTAAGCCCCCCCTATTACTATGTTATCCTTCTTTTACTCTTTAAAATAAAAAAAAAAGTTAAAATACTGTACAGCTAAAGATAGATATAGAAAGCTGAGATGTATGGTGGCTCTGTGCAGAAGCCCTCAGTTCAATCCCCAATATCAAAAAGAAGAAAAAGGAAAACAAAAAGACAAGAAAAGCTGGGCTTGCCAGGTGTAGTAGCTTACACCTCTAATCTTAGCACTCATGAGACTGAGGTAGGAGAACCAATACAAGTTTGAGGCCAGCCTGGGCAACATAGTGAGTTGAAAGCCAGCCTGAACTACATAGTTGGATCCTGTCTCAAAAAAAAAAAAAAAAAAAAAAAGTCCAGGCTTGGTGGTACATGCCTATAATCACAGCATTCTGGGAGGCTGAGTCAGAAAGATCACATACTTAAGTGATTCAGGAAGAGTCTCTCTTTCTCTGCCTCACTCCCTTTTGTTTTTCCAGTACTAGAGAATTAACCCAGTTCCTTTGCACTGAGCTGTATCTCTACTCCTTTTTGGGTTTGGTTGTTTTTGCTTTTTTTTGAGTCTCACTATGTAGTTGAGGCTGGCCTTGAACTCACTAAGTAACCCAGGCGGGCCTCAAACTCACAGCGATCCTCCTGCTTCAGCTCCCCAAGTGCTCGAGAGTTGGGATTTCATAGTGTGCCACTATGCTGAGCTCCACCATGTTTTATGACAGGGTTTCTTTGAGTCACTAAATTGCCTTGACTAGGCTCAAACTTGCAGTCCTCCTACTTCAACTTCCCAGGAGTATACTGGCATGCTTGGCATCTCAAAGTAAAAAAATAAAAACGGGCCTGGGGATACAGCTCAGTGGTTCAAGCGCCTGCCTGGCAAGTGCAAGATCCTGAGTTCAATTCCTGGTACCAAAACATAAAAAAATAAATAGAAAGAGTTGGGTGCAGTTCAGTACAAAGGCCCTGGGTTCAATTCCTTGGACCACACACACACACACACACAAAAGCTTGTTTCTTTTATTTGTTGCTTATTCATTGCTTATTTACAAATATCTTAGATACTTAGAAAAATAGTGGTATAAATTTTTTTACTCTTTGGCTGGTCAGTAATCATTTTTACTTCTTTGATTCTAACTTTTTTTTTAATTGCAGTACTGGGTACTTGAGACAAAGTCTTGCCAGAAGTCACTGGGTTGCCAGGCTGGACTCAACATTGTGGTCTTCCTGCCTCAACCTCCTTCCTGCCTCCCAGATTGCTGGGATTATACGTGTGTGCTATCATACTTCATGAATTTAAATTATTATATTGATTTATAGGATTTAAAGTAAATCACAGAACTGCTTTTGAAAATGTTTCAAAGCCAGGTGTGGTGGCTCATGCCTGTAATCCCAGCACTGGGGAGGCTGAGGCAGGAGGATTGCTGCAAGTTTGAGACCAGCCTGGGCTACAAAGTGAGCTCAAGACCAGGTGAACTGTATAGCAAGATCCTGTCTCAAAAAAAAAGAGTTCCAAGACTATCATAAGGCCCTTTAGAAAAGAGAATGTAATAGTATTCATTTGTTGGAGCTGCCCTAACAGAGTATTGTGTCATTGGGTGTCTTATTCATTTTCTTACCATTCAGCAGAGTAGAAGTCAAAGATCAAAATACAGGCAAGTTTGCTTCTTCTGAAATTTTTCCTCCTTAGGCTGTGGATGGCTACCTTCTCCTGTGCCCTGACTGACCTTTTCTCTGTGTATAGGGGATCCTGTTGTCTCTTTCTCTGCTTGCAAGGACACCAGTCCAATGATTTAGGGTCCACTAATTTGACCTCCTTTAACCTTCACTACTCTTTCAATCCCTTTTCTCAAGTACAGTTAAAATCTGAGGTACAAAAGGTTAGGATTTCAACATAGCAATTTTTGAGAGGACATAATACATTCTGGAAGAAGTACATTAGTTACTGAACACAGAACAGAAGTCTCCTTCTCTGGGAATCACTAAAACCCACTGTAATATCTAGGATGTTCAAACTGAAAGACCAAGTTTTGGTGAGAACATATGGAGCAACTTGAACACTCATACATTGCTAGTTAAAGTGTCAAGTTTTGTTTTGGATTTGTTTTTGTTTGTTTGTTGATTTTTCTCCTTTCCCAGAACTGGGGATTAAATCCAGGTCCTTGGCCCTGAACTGCATCCCCAACTCTTCTTTTTGAAAAAGGGTCTCGCTATGTAGTTCAGGCTGGCCCTGAACTCACTCTGTAGCCCAGGCAGGCCTCAGACTCACAACAATCCTCCAGCCTCAGCCTCCCAAGTGCTGGGATTACAGGCATGTGCCACTATGCCCAGCTCCCAACTCTTACGAGACAGGGTCTCAATGTGTATTTTAGGTTAGCTTTGAATTTGCTCTGTTAGCCTGAGCTAGTCTTTTGAACTCACAGAGATAATCTTGCCTCAGCCTCCTGAGTACTGGAATTATAGGTGTACACCTGCATGCCCAACATGATTTGAATTTTTAATCAACCTCCCTAACTTCGCAGAGTGCTGGGATTATAGACACGCACCACCACCCTTAGTTTACATTTGTTTTAATACTTGTTCTGTTTTAACACTTTTACCTGACAGTAGTCTGTCTCTCTATACAGTAATCTTAAGGACAGAAACAAAGGGTCTTATATAGCCTTTTAATGTGTGTTTTATAATGAAGGAGAACACAAAAGTTAAAAAAAGACCCTTTGTGTTCTACACTTAAACTGAGTCTCCCATTTTGGCTTTGTTTTAGTAAGCAATGGCATCAACCATTCTCCTCCTAACCTGAATGGTGCACCATCCCCACCACAAAGATTCAGCAATGGTCCTGCCTCTTCCACATCATCAGCACTCACAAATCAGCAATTGCCAGCCACTTGTGGTGCTCGACAACTCAGCAAGTTGAAACGGTTTCTTACAACACTGCAGCAGTTTGGTAATGACATCTCACCTGAGATTGGAGAGAAGGTTCGGACACTTGTCCTAGCACTGGTGGTAAGTACAGCATCACTGTTGTCAACTGTTGCCTGACAGCTTTCATATCTGTAGCTGGCAGAGAAACTGTGGATATTTCTGCTAATTTCCTAAGTACCATACTACCTCGGTTCACAAACTTCATTTGTCCTGCTGTTCTGGAAATGATGGCCACAATCGTGTTCACGCAGGAAAGGCTGGCCATGGGCCGGGAATATAGCTCAGTGGAATCGCGCCTGCCTGGTAAGCAAGAGGTCCCAAGTTCGATTCCCGGTACCAAAAAAAAAAAGGACAACGGGAAAGGTGACCATGATTGGTCATCCGATGCAGAGTTCCCAAACAAGGTTTTGCCAAATGCTTCTGTTTGCAAACCAAATGATTTGCAGACAAAAGCATTTGTGAACTGAGGTACCACTGTATAGTAATGAGGCAAATTCGATGGACTGGATTAGTTATAATTTGTATAATACTGTGGAACTGTAGATTTCCTAACAGTGTTTATGAAAGGAACAAAATGTATAATACTTACCTTTTGTTTAAAGCTAATAAGTAGCTTTGGGTTTGTCTTCAAACTGGCTTCAGTAGGCCTGCTGAGGTCCAACCAAGTTAATGCAAATGTTTTTGTAATTTAATATATTCAATGCCTGGCATACTGTTTCTAAACCAAAGAAAATAGAGAAGTAGTGAGTTTAATTTTGAAAACAATAATTTATAAAATTATAAGTTTTGTGGTCTAGTATCCGAGGGATTACATTGTTTAGCTCCTCATGAATAAACAGCTTCTTTAGAATTTTATTTCTTTTTAAAATTTTTATTAATACATGTTTTCACTACATAACCATTACATTCATCATGGGGAGTTGTATATGAACATAACAAATTTTAATTCTTTTTACTTCCTCTTCCTTTCTACTCCCTCTTTAGAATTTTCCAGGTATACATAATTTTTCTTTCTGTACTGATAGTCCTGAGCCTATAAGAAGAGTGGTTTTGTGATACTTACAATTAGATGTGGTTTGACTGAGTTTATAAGGGAAGTGCTGCTAGTTCTTAGTGTTTGTACATCAACTGCAAAATTTATCCCAGTAAAACTACTCTGTGTTCTTTCTCTCGTGTTAGCTTCTCTTTTTTTTTTCCGGTACCGGGAATTGAACTCATGACGTTGCGCTTGCCAGGCAGGCACTGTGCCACTGAGCTAAATCCCCAGCTCACATATTAGCTTTTGTATGTGATAGAAAGATGAATCACAGCATCAGTCCTTCAAGTCACATTCTCCAAGTGTAATTCCATGGTCTGCTGGGATTCCCCAAGATCCTTACTTTGGATATAAAGGGTCAAAACTATTTTCATAATAATAGTAAGAGCTTATTTGTCCCACCCACCCACTGTAATGGAGATTGAATCCAGAGTCTCTGCATTGAGCTGCATTCTTCAGCCTTTTTTGTTTTTAATTTTGATACAGGGTCTTGCTAAGTTTCCCAAATTGGACTCCAATTTACAAATTCTTGCCTCAGCCCCTCAAAGTGCTGGATTTACAGGCGTCCTTTTTGTTCCTTGATAGACATTTGAATTGTTTATTTCTAGGACAATATTAAAGTCCCTGACACCTCCTCATATTTGGAGATTTGTTAGAAGGAAGGGTTCACAAGACTTGGCATATAGTTGTACTTATAACTAAGGTCTGTTATGAAGGTATATTAAGGATGTATAGCTAGATCATAAAGAAAAGAGACACAGCCAAAGTCTGGAGGAATTTATATAGAGCCTTCCTTATGCTGTCTTCCCTTCATGGCCAGTCACACAGAATGCACTCTCCCCAACAAGAAAGATATAGCAACATGTGTATAGTGTTTCTCTCAAGAGAAGCCTATTAGAGACTGCCCAAGACCTATTTATTTATTTGGTGTTACTGTGGAATCAAGCCTGGCCCTTTACACTGAGCTATATCCTCAGCCTCTTTTATTTTGAGATAGAGTCTATTTAAATTATCAAGGCAGGACCCAGACTTGCAATCCTCCTGGCTCAGCCTCCCAAAGTGCTGGGACTTTACGGGGCATATGCCACCACACCCACCCTCATCTCAGTATTTTTGTTTCAGTTTTTTTTTTTTCTGGTACCGGGACTTGAACTCACCACCTTGCGCTTGCCAGGCAGGAGCTGTGCTGCTGAGCTAAATCCCCAGCCTCTTCATCTCAGTATTTTTATTTGTTTGTTTTGAGACAGGGCATCACTATATAGTTCAGACTGACCTTGAACTCACTATGTAGTTCAGGCTGCCGTCAAACTTACTGCGATCCTTCTGCCTCTGCCTGCCCAATGCTGGGATGTGTTGCCAATCCCTATATGTATATCAGTATTTTAAATGGCCACACCAAACAAAAAGATAAAAAAGGCCAAGTGTGGTACCACACCTGGCTATTTCTTTTCTTTTTTAAGTTTGAGTGATAACATTCCATTGTATAGGTACACTCCATTTTGCTTCTTCAGTCAGCTATTGATTGACTGTGGGGGTTGCTTCTACCTTTCTACTATGTGTGTACAAATCTTTTCCAACCCATAATTTCATAGTTGACCCAGGTTGTGATATATGTCGGAACTGCATTCTTTTTAAGACTGAATTATATTCTGTTGCACATACGTACTACATTTTGTTTATTTATCCATCACTGGACACTGGAGTTGCTTCTGGCTTTTCAGTTAGGGACTTTATATCAGTTAGGAAAACCATTTAACACCCAGGTTCCTACTGGCAGATGCCAGCTAATGGCTCAACCTTACAAGCAGGCCTTTTAGATAGCAATCTTATCTCTGTTCTGTTAACTCTTTTATGTGGAGGTGCCATTACAATAATGTTCCTATAAATATTCTTGGACATGTGTACAATGCACATATCAATGAAATTGTGATTACATAGGGCATTCTTTTTTTTTTCTTTTTTGTACGGGAAATCAAACTCAGGACCTTGAGTTTGCCAGGCAAGCACTTATGCCATTGAGCTATATCCCCGGCCAGGGCATTATTATATACAAATTTAGTACGTAAGACCATACAGTTTCCCCAGATGTTTCGCCAATTGATACTATAACCTGCTGGGATTTTCATTGACATTACTATTGAAACTATAGGTTTGCAGAAGACACAAAGGGGGGAACAAGTATTTGTTAATTATAATGTTAATTTTTATTTATTTATTTATTTATTTATTTATTTAAGACAAGGTCTTGCTATGCAGTTCAGGCTATGCAGTTCAGGTTGGCCTTGAACTCACTATGTAGTCCAGGCTGGCCTTGAACTCATGGCGATCCTCCTGCCTCATAATTAATTTTTTAAGGAAAACAAAAACTTACAAAGTCAGCACAAAGAATTGCCTTAATCTGATGATGGTTATATATAAACAAAAAATGTATAGCAAGTCTCGTGCTTACTGGTGAAGTTTTGAAAGGTTTCCTTCTGAGATCATGAAGTATAGATATGGATGTTCACTTTTTAAAATCCAATCAAAGGAAATAACATATAAAGATGAGAGAAAAAAATAAAATTGCCATTAGAAGGACAATTAACATGTTCAGTGTTAAATTTGTCTAATCAAGAAAGTATCTGCGTGTTTTATTACAATAAATATCAGTACTATTTTGGTAGGAATATGTAAGTGGAACCAGTCTTTCCAGGTGGTGGAAAATTATTTTAGCCAAATTTTAAAAGACACAGTTGAGTAGCTGAAGTTCACTTATCTGCAGTCTTTGTCTGCAGTGTGCAAGAGGTGGGGTGCCGGTACTCCCTAACTATACTAAGGACCAAGCATGGCCATTTTCTGCTGCAAGGTTAATATGTGTCTGCTTATTTGTAGAATATACATTTGAGAGACTAGTTTGGCAGTACTTAAGATCCCTTAAACTTCATAGTTCTTTTGACTCACCAGTTTCATTTTTTGAAAATCCTAATAATAAGATCATGCATTAAGATAATCAGTACATTACTGGGGAAGCTGAGGCAGGAGAATTGCTAAGAGTTCAGGACCAGCCTGAACTACATAGTGAGACCCTGTCTTAATCCTACCCTTCCCCCCAGATAATCAGTTTAAGGCAGGGAATGTAGTTCAGTGGTAACATGTTTGCCTATCATATGTAAATCTCTGAGTTCTATTCCCAGTGCCTTCTCCCCTCCCCTCAAAAAACATAACTAGTTCCACATTATTTACAATTAAGAAAATTAAAGCTACTGAACTTTTTTAATAGCCTTCATAAATTACCTCTGTATAATGGAATTGTATGTAATCATTAAGAATCAAATCATACTCTGTTTCAGAGGCAAGACAGAAAGGCATACTCCCTATTTCTCCTGATAAATACAGCAAGATATCCTGGATGTTTTGTATGTATTTTAAAAATCCACAGTGAATGTAATCATTATGTACTGCAGACATGTACTAAGTAATAAAAATTAAAAATTTTAAAATAACAAGAAAAAATAATAATAAACAGTAAGACTCTCAAAGGTAGAGACAGTGCAGGTTCACTGACAACCATGGGACCCAAGGAATAACATAGCAATGAGTTACGTAGGTTTTGTTTTTAGTAGTATATCCTGAGTTGGAGTGTGCAGAAATTGGTAACTTGGAAACATCAGTGAGCACAAGTTAAAAGTGCCTCTGTCTAACTCAAAGAATAGGAAAGGAACAACCAAGCAAGGCAGAAACTTTTAGACAGTAACCATCACACTCCAGCCAAGCATCTTCAATAAAACTGTGGTAATGAGGCACCTTTCTCCCTTCATCAGAGGCCGTTTTTATTCCTGACTGCTAATATTACAGACTGCTAATATTTTTATTCCTGACTGCTAATATTACAGATCAGTTTGATGCAATTTATCAGTGTCGTATACTTCAAACACTCAGTTTAAAGAATTTGAAAAATGGTTTACAGACATTGGAAAGAGTTTTGTTGTGAAATAAGATAAAGTGTTCAAATATTTTCATGTAACATAGTTAAATTGTGTATACTTGCCAGGCGTGGTGGCGCACGCCTATAATCCCAGCACTCAGAAGCCTGAAGCAGGAGGATTACTTCGAGTTCAAGGCCAGCCTTGGCTATAAAGTGAGTTAAAGGCGAGCCTGACTGCATAGTGAAACCCTATCTCAAAAAGACATAAAAGCCGGGGTTATAGCTCAGCGGCATAAGCAGCTGCCTGGCAAGCACAAGGTCCTGAGTTCAAGTCCCAGTACCAAAATGAAACAAAAAAGATATAAAACAGGGGGGTGGGGTTGAGGATGTAGCTCAATGTAAAGCCCTCCAGTCAATCCCCAGTATTCCCCCCAAATAAATGCTTAAATTTTTTGCCTTTTATTTTAATTTATTATATTGTTTTAAGAAATTGAAATAAAAATATTTTATGAACATTGAAGAAAAATATTTTCATTTGCTTATTACCCTTAGCTGAGATTCATTTCTATTTTAAAGCCTAGATGTTGAGAAAATACAGAAGTGTTAGTAACTTTCCTGAGGATAATTAAAAACTGACTGATGGTGCTTTGCCTATTTTGACTTATTCTGATATGCACATAGAGCATTTGAAGACAGAAGGCACTTATTGCTCTTCTTTTCTTCTGAACTTCTGAGCTCTGTTCCCATGGAGAAGATTTGGGAAGCCTCTTCTGTAACACAGGTGGACAAAGGAGGACAGGGAGTTGTATTAGGAATGTGGAGATAAGAATAAACAAGGTGAAATTTCTGTCATTAAAAAAACAGAATTCCACTCACCTTTTTTTTTTTTTTTTTTTTTTTTTTTGGAGACAGGGTCTTACTATGTAGCACAGGCTGACCTCGAATTCAAGGCAATCTCCTGCCTCGGCCTCGCTAGTGCTGGGATTGCAGGGATGCACTACCACGCCTGGCTCGGCTTACGTTTGACTGGGATCCATGTTCATAATTGTGTGTCCTTGGAACTATCATTTTCCTTATGATTTAAAAGGGTTTATTACTGTGTGAATCAATGTTCAGTTTTGAAAGTTGAATAACATTGTTTATCTTTATAGAACTCAACAGTGACTATTGAAGAATTCCATTGCAAGCTCCAAGAGGCCACAAATTTTCCTCTTCGTCCTTTTGTGATTCCATTTCTCAAGGTAATTCTATGTTAACTACTAAATGTAATTTCTCTTCAGTATTTCTTGAAATGTCTGCTGATCCCTGTTAATGTGGTCGAGATCAGAGCAGCTTGCCACGTTCTTATATATTTATTTTATTTTGGACTGGTAGAGACGTGTAGGTATAGTCTGCAAATAGGCCTCATGCTTGAGGAGATGAGAATTGCAGAAGCCTTGAGTTGTGTTCTGTGTGCACTGCTGGTAATACCTACAAGGACAAGTGGTTCCCGTGAAAAAGGTAAGTGGGCTGGAGGATGCTGAAGAGATCACTGGCCACTAAATCTTTTGAATATGACCAGAAGGAGGAGAGTGTGTGTTATCTGAGTGGAGGCTGTCCGTGAGGACGCCTCTGAGGTTTGGACTTATCCCAAGACCGGAAGATGTGAGCAAGCGGCATAGCATTTGTGTCTCCCCAAGTCCCATTTAGTCTAGTCTTCATAATGTCCTCGGAATTACTGTTCACTGGAACACAACTTTTGGGAGCACTGTTCTAAATCATTTTACTTGATAAGTGAGGTAGTATTATATTTATATGGAATATGGGTCTTTAAAAAACTTTCCTTTTAAAATTTCACACTTACAGATAAGCTGCCAAATGGTACAGTAAAATTTTCCCCATGACCTTCACCCAGATTCTCCAAATGTTAACATTTTATCACACTTGCATTATGTTCTGTTTTTCTTCAGAAATGCTTGAGAATACACTGCTGCCAGTCATAGTGGTACTTGTCTTTAATCCCAGTTCTCTGGGAGGTTGAGGCAGGAGAATAACAAATTTGAGCCCAACCTGGGCAACTTTGGAATTTAGTGATAGCATATCTGAAAAAAGTTAAAAAGAGGGCTGGAGATATAGTTCAGTGTGAAGGGCCTGTGTTCAATCTCTAATACCAGAGAAGGAAAAAACTTGCAGACGTAATATTGAAGCCAGATGTGGTGGTATATCGCTATAATCCCAGCATTTGGGGAAGCTAAGGCAGGGGAATCAAAAGTTAAAGCTCCACCTGGGCAGTGTAGTGACTTAGCAAGGTCCTGTCTTAAAAAAATATAGGACTTGGGGATGTAGCTTGGTGCAAAGGCCCTGAGCCCAGTGCCCAGGGAAGAGAGAAAGGATGGGAAGGAGGAAGGAAGCATTTATGAAATACTACTATAGTACTCCTTATTTGTTTTAATGTGTCCCACTAATTTTTTGGTTTTTTGAGACAGGGTCTCATTGTGTAGTTCAAGCTGGTCTTAAACTCATTATGTGGCCCAGGCTGGCCTTGAACTTGGCATGATCCTCCTGCTTCAGCCTCCTGAGTGCTGAGATTACAGGTGTGATTCACTACACGTGGCTCCATTAAAGTTCTTTACAGATGGGCATGGTGGTGCATGCCTGTAATTCCAGCATTTGGGAGGCTGAGGCAGGAGGATTGTTGCAAGTTCGAGACCAGCCTGGGCTACAAAGTGAGCTCAAAACCAGCTGAACTGCATAGCGAGACCCTGTCTCAAAAAGACAAAAAAAAAAAAAAAAAAGAAAATGTTCTTTATGGGTTAGGGGTGTGGGGAGGTAGTAAAAAACCCCAATTTTTTTGTGGAGCACAATTTCTAGATCTAATTTAAGGTCCCTTATTTCATGTTAGCTGTCATGTATCCAGATCTTCTCGTTTTGTTTTGTGACAGGTTCTCACGTTGTAGTCCAGGATAGCCTTGAACTCACTATGTAGCCCAGGATGGTCTTGAATTTACAGCAGTCCTCCCTTCTCAGCCTCCCAAGTACTGAGATTACAGGTGTGTGTCACCACACCTGGCTGTGCTTTACATTTTTGAAGAATACAGTTTGTTTTCTAGAGTACACTTGCGTTTTGTTCCTCATGATTAGAATCAGGTAAAGCATTTTTTCACAGGAATAGGTAAAAGGCATCACTATATGCTTCAAAAGACACAGTTGGTAATTTTTCTATCATTAATAATGTTAAAAAATAATAATAATGTTGACCACATCACTTTGTAACGTTGGTTTCTGCCATGCTTTCCCACTGAAAATTACTGTTTTAGCCAGTTAAACAGTAATTTTCCAAAATAGGTAACATTATGACTCCTACAGAAAAAAAAAAATGAAGCTGTCAGATTTTATTCAGCCAGGCGTGGTGGTACACGCCTGCAATTCCAGCACTCGGGAGGCTGAGGCAGGAGGATTGCTGTGAGTCCAAGGGCAGCCTGAACTACATATCAAGGCCCTGTCTCAAAAGACCAAAAAAAAAAAAAAAGATTTTATTCATTTAGTAGTTAATGACAAAAAATAGTTAATGACAGAATCAATAAGATGTCACAACCAGTCTGGAGGAGCATCCAGATAGACATATTTATAGATCAAACTGTATAAACACAAGTGAAACTAATGTCTTCTACAATGGGCAAGAGAAACCAGTTGAATTTCTCACACACATAATTTGTATACTCATAGACAGTAATTATTTTACATCAATATCATTTATCTAGAAGTTACAGAGGTATAAAATAGCTCAAGGGCAATGAAAAGAGTAGTCAGATAACCAGTTCGTTGTCGACCACGTTAAGTGAACTATGACCCAAATCTAGTCCATAATGTGGTTTTATAAAGCCAAGAATGGCTTTTACAGGTAAACATTTGCAATTTGACGTGGTAATAGGAAATAAGTAACTTGAACCCCAATTAAACTAAATGCTATCATATAACCCACTCTGTACTGCGGATTGAACCCCCAAGTAGCAAGTTTTACAAGTGTGTACCACTGCACCCAGTCATTGTTTTCATTAGCAGTAGAATGAGATTGCAAACAAACTGCACTCAGTTGTTAGTGCACGCTGAATTTTGTCAGTCCCATGTTTGTGGAAGTTTTTGTCCTGATTTTTTGAGACTGGGCTAACTAGGTAGCCCAGTAGTCCAAGCTGGCCTCAGACTCGAGATCCTCTTGTTTCAGCCTCCTGTGTGCTGGGATTGGAGGCATGGGCCACCATGCCCCATTTAAATAATATTTTTAATTTTTGCCACTTGATCACAAAGCCTTATGCTTTCTAGCCAAATAAATATGCCCCCTTTTCTTTCATCTGCTTATTTCCTAAGAAAATGTCATAGTATCCCAAAAATGACTCATTAAAGTACTGATACCAGATTTTATGATTATTTATTTATTTATTTTGCAACACCGAGGATCGAACTCATGACCTTGCGCTTGCCAGGCAGGCACTTATGCCACTGAGCTATATCCCCAGCCCATGATACCAGATTTTAAAACGTTCTGAGGGATGGGGATGTTGCTCATTGGTAGAGGGTTGCCTAGCATGTGGGAGGTCCTGGGTTCCACCTCCAGCCTTGCAACAACAACAACAAAATAACAGAAATGTTTTGAACTGGAGCATAATAAACATAGAGAAAAATTCCCAGTCTAAGGTGCACAGTCCATGCTGTGCTCAGTTCTAATAGCTTGGAGCCACGTGGCCCTGAGCAACCCATGGCTTTTTCCAACCACATACAGAGTGTTCTCTCTTGGTCTTTTTTTGTAGGTCAAAGCCACAAATAATTATTTGTAGGTCAAAGCCACAAATAATTATTCAAGAGACTCAAGAAATGTGTGTTAATAGAAAATTAGCATTTTTATCATCAAAGGACGTGTCACAAATGTAAAGATCTGATGGAATATTTTTTGCCAATTAAAATTTTACAGTTTCAACACAATTGCAATTGTAAAACAGACTTAGAAGTGTTTTACATTTTCAAATTCCCTATTCTTAACTCTATTATTTTGGAAAACAGCATGAGGTAGGTTGTTATGGCAGCTTTTTGGCTAGCATCTTGGGTTTTGTCAATTCTCCTTTAAAACAGTCACTAATTATGGTGCCTGCTAAATTAACCCTCAGTGAAGGATGACTACTTGCATGGATTAAAGTCCTTCTCTATTTTTTTAGTCTGTCCCTTGAGATAAAGACTTCTATTATGGGCTTAGCCTGCATTATGTTTAAATTTAGGGAGAAAAATACAATTCTTTTTTATGCTTTTCTTAATAAAAGAAATATGTTCTTTATATGAAGGAATTAGAATTCTGAAAATTCTGAAATTTAAAGTATGAATAGAGGGTTTTTAGTGATTTGTTCCCATTAAAGGTTTGCTGGGTATGAGTTAAAGAAAAATATCAGTATATAATTAATAATTCTCTTTTGACAGATTACATTACTTCCCATACTCCTTTTTAAGACCCCATGTTTCAGAGGAATCGCAGTATCCAGAATTCTAGGGTAACTCTTCGAACAAGAAGAAAAGATTTGAGTAACACTGTCAGAGATGGGGTGGGGTTTAGAAGAGAGAAATCAGGTCTTGTGATGTAGAGCTGAGAATAAATTTCTCCTTACGTGTAGGTAGTAGCAATTTTCTAACTGACCAAACTTTTCAAAAATGTCTGTTTTCAAATTACTATGTTCAAAAATCTTCATTAAGGTTTGACGTTGTACTAACCACAAAGAAAGGTAAATGAGGCACAGTTCTTCTTTAGGGCATTTACATCCTTTTAGGGCCAGAAACACATTAACCAGTAATTCAAGTGCAGGATACTAGATGTCACCTCACAAAAGAGGCTGATGAGAATGTTACTGACTCGGAGAGCAGTGCTTTTGTCTTGTGTTACCTGCATTGTGAAAGCCCTTTGAGGTGCTAATCCCTGTTGTATAGGGCCCAGCACTGGGAATACTGCCTCTTCTTTTCAAGGCCAACTTACCCCTGCTGCAGCGAGAACTGCTGCACTGCGCTCGGGCTGCCAAGCAGACCCCGTCCCAGTACCTGGCCCAGCACGAACACCTTCTGCTTAACACCAGTATCGCATCTCCTGCCGACTCTTCTGAGCTGCTCATGGAGATGCACGGAAATGGGAAGAGGCCTAGTCCAGAGAGGTGAGAAGAAATTTGTTGTCCTTGCTTTTCTAGAACTTCTTATCTTCTCCCTTAGCTTATAAAAGAAAGAGACTTTGATCGCTGGGGTTGTAGATGGTAAGCAAGACTTTGCAAAGCTTTTGTAAATAGGAAGAGGGCGTGAAGGGTGGGGGAGGGGAATGGGGAGAAAAGCAAGATACACTTCGTACAGGCACAAATTCCATATGATGAATGTCATCACTAGGTATACCCAAAATGTACCAGTAAAATAAAAAGGAGAAAAAAAGTTTGAAAAAAGACTTGGCAAGGTTGATCCTTTTTTTCCCTCTTAAGAAGACTCTCTATACCCTTAATAAGAAATAGGGTCCATTGCACCAGAAGCAGAAGAAAACTCAGTCTTTCCTACTTAGCCATCGACACAAAAGACTTCTTTGATCAAATGTGTGGGAATTTTCCTCCAGCGTTAAGCAAGCAGTCAGTTTTGTAGGGGACAGGAACAGGTTGAGGGCTCAGTCACTAAGACTGCCCGCTCCCTTCAGAGGCTAGTCACAAGCTCCAGGTTGTTTTTCCTGTGCTTCTGACTGGCTAAAAGTCTAGCTTCCTACAACACCCTCCTCATGTATGTAATTGATGGACATAGGATGAAGAATTGATAGAGCAAAGTACAAGGAAAGAACACTGATCTTCCATGCCTTTCTAGCTTCTGGAAGCTCTTGGACTTTGCCCCCTTCCCTTTGAGCCTTCAGTACATAGGCATGGTTGATTAAATCCTTGACCAGTGATGATCAGCTTAACCTGCCAAGCTCTTTCCTCTCCCAGAGCATGGGAAGTAGGGCTGGAAATCCTAATCCTCTAATTGTACTTTAGTCCTTTCCTTAACTGTCCCCCATCCTAGGGACTGCCAGCCATCAACCAGCTCACTAGCATACAAAAAGACCCTGGGCTTCAAAAATTCTAAGGATTTTGGGAGTTAGTGTGCCAGGCAATAGGATGAAGACTAAATGTTGTATTTTACATTATCAGAGGTGGCTACCACAACATCCTGTAGTTACCAAAGAAGCAATACTTTAACAACAGTGGAAAATTTAGTACTCTTGGACATGAATGACTAAAAAACTCACTAAATCACAGGATTCATCATATGAGCCTCTTTCCTCTGTGTAAGAATCGTTTCTTCCCAAATTGGGTATCACTGCACAATTTCAGCTCTCAGGAAACTAAGGCAGGAAGACCACAAGTTCAAGCTCAGCCTAGGGAACATAGGGAGTAGGAGGCCAGCCTAAACTGTGTAATAAGACTGTCTCCCAAAAAAAGATTATTTTGTTTCTTCTCAATAACTTGCCTCCACAGTAACAAATTTTTACCTTAAAGCATTTCTAAACATAGTTGGACCCATAACCCCCCATATTTCTTTTTTGTTGTTGTTGTTACTGTTTTTTGAGACAGGGTCTTGTCACTTGTTCAGGTTGGCCTTCAACTCACTATAGTCTCCTTAGTGCTAGGAACACAGGTGTGTGCCACCACACCTGGCCATTCCTCCATATTTCTATCTCATAAGAAAATGTCACTTATTTAGTCTTTCTTTGTCTACTTACAATTAGAAGTTTTTGCCTGACTATGGACTGTTGACTTCTTTCTTAGTGCTGGAATAAATCAACAATTCGTTTGTTTTTGAGACAAAGTCTTACTGTGTTGTTCAGGCTGGCCTCAAACTCGTGGCAGTCTTCCTGCCTCACCCTCCCAAATGCTAGAATTACAGGTATGTGCCATCATGTCCAGCTTTTAAATCAGCAATTTACAGAATGTGCCAGGTTCCTGAAGCCAATTCAGTTTACACCTCACATCAAACATTTTCTGAGCTGGGCATGATGAGACAAATCCTTAATCCCAGCTACTTCCGAGGCTGAAGCAAAAGGATCGTGTGAGCCCAGGAATTCAAGGCCAACCTGGTCAATATAGAGACTCTGTCTTGAGGGAAAAAAAAAAAACAGGTTGGGCATGGTAGAAAATTCTTATAATCGCAGCACTCAAGGGGCTGAGGCAGGATTGCCGAGAGTTTGAAGCCAGCCTGAACTACATAACAGGGTCCTGTCTCAAGAACAAATCAACCAGGCCAGTCAGGTGTGGTGGTACATGCCTGTAATTTCAGCACTCAGGAGGCTGAGGCAGGAGGGTTGTTGTGAGTTTGAGGCCAGCCTGGGCTAGAAAGTGAGTTCAAGACTAGTCTGAACTGCATAGTGAGACCCTATCTCAAAAAGACAAAATAAATAAACAACCAGCTGTGCATGGTGGCACACGCCTAGTCCTAACACTTGAGAGGCTGCGACAGGAGGATCACAGTGAGTTCTAGGGCAGCCTGTGCTACATAGTGAGACCCTGGTCAGCCTTAACTATATAGAGAGACCCTGGCTCAAAAATACGAAAACAAACAAACAAACAAAAAAAACAAACATACCAAAAAAGGACAAATAAACCTTTCCTTAAAATGCTACGAGTGTAAAGTATGTGCATATCATATACAAGGATCTAGATTCAATCCTCAGTACTGAAAAAAGAAAACCCTTTTCTTCCAGTCTTTCTGCTTCAGAAGGTACTATATGCAGCACAATTCATAACAGACCAGTGCTCAGGAAATGTCTGCATGAATGCTTGTTGACAGGCTAAGATATCATGTCTCGTTCTTCTTCAGGAGGGAAGAAGGTAATTTTGATAGAGATACCATTCCTCCTGAACCCCCTGCCAAGAGAGTGTGTACCATCAGCCCTGCTCCTCGGCATAGTCCTGCCCTCACTGTGCCCCTTATGAATCCTGGTGCCCAGTTCCATCCTACTCCTCCACCTCTTCAGCACTACACCTTAGAAGATATTGCAACTTCCCACCTGTATCGGGAACCCACCAAGATGCTAGAACATCGAGAAATTCGTGAGAGGCACCACAATCTCGGTAAGTAACCTACATGGCATAGTAATGCTTTAAATTGAGACAGAATACTTGGAGTTCTTTCTTACCCAATGATAAAGTCAAATGTCATCATTGCTTTTTTTCTTCTGATAAGATAAAAGTAGCTGGGCGTGGCGATACACAGGCCTGTAATCCAGCACTTGGGAGACTGAGGCAGGAGGATTGCCATGAGTTTGAGGTCAGCCTAGGCTACATAATGAGTTCAAGGCTAGGCTGAACTATATAGGAAGACCCTGTCTCAAAATAAAAATTAAAAAAGGGTAGGGCTTGTAGCCCAGTTCAAGGCCTTAGGTTCAATCCCTTTTTTTTTTTTTTTTTTTTTTTGGTTTTTCTCCGGTACCAGGAACCGAACTCACGACCTTGCGCTTGCCAGGCAGGCGCTTTGCTGCTGAGCTAAATCCCCAGCCCCTGGTTCAATCCTTAGTACTGCAAAAAATAAAAGGACTGGGAATGTAGCCAAGTACAAAGGCCCTGAGTTCAATTTCCAATATCTCTCTCTCTGTCTCTCTCACACACAAATACACCCCTTATATATAAAGAAGGAGAATAGTATAATTATGGTTTTCTTATTTGATACTGAGCTCACTTCATATCTTTTCACTATCCTCATATGCTAGAAGTTTGTTATCAAAAGGAAGTCTGAAAAAGCAACAAAAAATGAATATAATAATGAATGGGAATTAAAACTGAACAAATTCTCATAAATACATTGAAGAGTTAAAGAGTATCACTTTGAAATGGATCAGAACAAAGTAGAGAATAAACAGCAAATGAGATAAAGTATTAGTATTTGGGAAATATGTGTGAAAGGTATATGGTAATTCTTTTTATTACTCTTAAATCTGTAAGTCTAAATTTATTTTAGAATTTTAAAAGTTTTTAAAATTCAGAAAGATGTGAAATGTGATCTTAAAGGTGAATCTACACAGATCAACACTTAAACCATGGCTTAACGTGTAACCAGCTATTGAGTGTTGCATAGCCTTAGAGCAGTAATTACTAAAATAGAGATGATCCTACTACCTCTGCTCTTTGTTCATATGAAATGCCTGAAGCATGGGCCTTTAATACTACTAAATTTAGGAAGAAACAAAAACAAAAAAAACTCTTAAGATACCTAATCTGAGATCAGTTTTGGACAGGGCTTTTCCCCCTCATCCACATGTCCTCAGACAAGTTTGTCGAAGAAGCTTCTTTGGAGTTTACCTGCTGAGCACATGTCAGTACAGAGAAGCAAAGGGCTATTCCATTTCAGAGTTTCTTCTACCTTTCCTTCGTGATATACCCTGTAGAGTTTTTTTAAAAAAAAGCAATACAATTGCCTTTTCTTCTTCTGACTGCGACATTTAGAGTTACTGTCTTTCAGGCATTAGTAGGTGAATGGCCATGAAAGAAGTGGTATTCTCAGCCACCACCAAGCCTTAGCCACTGCATTATCTCATTTAATCCTCATAGAAAGCCCAAGCTGTTGTTACTTCCTTTTTAAAGCTGAGATATAAAGGAACCATCGCCAAGAGCACTTAGCAGAGTTCAGATCCAGCTTTTTACTTTTATTTCTGACAGTTTTAGAAAAACATTTTTTAGTCAGGTTTGGTGGCACATGCCTGTAATTGCAACTGGGGAGGCTAAGCCATGAGGATTGCTAGGAATTCAAACCCAGCCTGGGCTACATAGTAAGTTAAGGCCAGCCTGCACTACATATTGAGACCCTGTCTCAAAGAAAAAAAAAATGAAAGGAAATTTTTTTTTTTCCATTTTCAAGCATACAAAAAAAGAAAAAGCATACTATTAATCATCTACCGTAATAGTTTCTTTTAGTTTTCCTGAACCATTTGTCTGCTAAGCTCCTTATAGATTCTTTAATTTTCATTAGACCTGTATGAAAATGTGTGCCTTATTGTAATGGTTCTCAACCCTTACCAAACCATTCACCATGCAACCTCATTTTCTAAACAAATGTATTGCTTCTTTTGTTCTGAAATGAAATGTAAGGATACCATAAAGCCTACCTTAGTTCTATATAACTTCAGGGTCAAAATTCTATCCTAGCTTTAATATATAAGAAAATGCTGGGCTGAGATGTAGCTCAATGATAGAGCACTTACCTAGCATGTTAGAAACCCTGGGTTCAATCCTCCTCATCACAAAAAAGCAAATGTCTTACAATAACACAATAAACAGTATGTTAGTGCTGTGAAAGAAACAGATTTTTCCACTGATATAGAACTGATTGATATGAATACAATATATGCAAAGTCAGACTGATAACAGAAATGTTATCATTTAATGACCATGAGCAGTGTTGCTAAATGTAAGTAAGAGTTTCTCAAAATACTGATTAGTTCTGCCACAGCACCTACCTGGCAAGCATGAGGTCGTGAATTCAATTCCTGGTACCGCCATGCCCCGGCCTCCAAAAAAAAAACCTGGTCAACTCTTGATTGGGTATAACCTTTGTCCACAGAGTTGTTGCATTCCTAAAAATTTCAGTGGGTATCAAATATTGATAACACTCAGCTATTTTTTATATATACTACAGTACTGGTGGTTAAGCATTTATATTGTACATCTTTGTCAATACTAAGTATTATCTGACATTTTAATTTTTTTTTAGTACAGTATATTCAGTGTTATGCTATCCAATTTGAAAGTTTTTTTCACATTTATGAACTGTACTTTTTTGTCTGAGATGTAAGTTGTTTATTTCTTTTGCCTGTTTTTCTTTTAGGCTATTTGTCTTTCTTTTTTTTTTTTTTTTTTGGTTTTTCTCCGGTACCGGGAACCGAACTCACGACGTTGCGCTTGCGAGGCAGGCGCTTTGCCGCTGAGCTAAATCCCCAGCCCCTTTGTCTTTCTTATTTGATTTGCTGGAATGCTATACACAGTGTTATCAAAAAATATGGTGAGATTTCTCACCATAATAAGACGTGTTGCCATTAATCCATGCTCAAAGTACTTTCCTTAGCATCAAATACACTTATCCTGTCCTTCTTGCCACATTCTGAAGCAACTAGGAAAGTCTTTTTTTTTTCTTTTTTTGGGTGGGGGTAACCAGGAATCAAACTCAGGATCTCACACTTGCCTGACAGGTGCTGCACTGCTGAGCTATATCCCCAGCCCTTGGAAGTCTTTTTCATTCATGTTTTCAGTTGCACTGTGATGGCTGCCTTGATATCTTGAATTGATACCTTGAACATTTATCTTTCACGGCCATTTTGGCTTTGGGAAAGAGCCAGAAGTTGCACATTGCCACATTTGGCAAATAGGATTGTACTGTTTTTATAAGCCTGCGTTTCTATTGGATGGCTCTCAGCAATAGCATTCACTTGTTGTTGTTGTTGTTCATGTTTTATTGTTGTTTTTATTTTTTTTTGAGACACGGTCTCTCTAGTTCAGGGTGACCTGGATTTCTTAGCGATCCTTCTGCCTCAGCCTCCTGAGTTCTGGGATTGCGGGCATGTGCCACCATGTCCCACTGATTCACTGTATTTTTTTATCACAAAAGAGGACTTCTAGAACTGTTTCAGAAAGTGGCAGAACAATGGGAAAAGTTTATTGGAAAGGGAAGTATTGTGAAGGGGGTTATGGCAATGAGTCTGTCTTACTGTAATAAATTTTTGTTTGTTTGTTTGTTTTTTCCGGTACTGGGAATCTAACTCATGACCTCGCGCTTGCTAGGCAGGCGCTGGGCCACTGAGCTAAATCCCCAGCCCCTGTAATAAATTTTTTAATTTAAGCATTCACCATGTATTTTGATCACATTTTATATAATCTGAATACACATCTGTACTTGGTTATAGCATTTTTTGGTGGTCCCACATCCCATTGTGAAGCATTCCCTTACTAGTGTGCTCAAATTTAATCTCTAATTTCTAATAGGTCTAAATGGAGGCTATCAGGATGAATTGGTAGATCACCGTTTGACTGAGAGGGAGTGGGCTGATGAATGGAAACATCTTGACCATGTAAGAATCTTGGCATGTTTAATTTCCACAACTTCTTGTTACTTTTAATTCTTACTACTAACAATAGTTCATGTATGTTTGAAGTGGATATAATATCCTTTGCTTTTAATAAAAGTTGGTTTATCTGCTATTCCCTCAGCTAGAAGTCTACAGTCACTCCAAAATCTTGGTGGTGGCATGTTCCCTTCAGATCATAAGTTAAGTAGTCTTGTAATAAATGAATAAGCAAAGGCTATGAGTTCAATTCACAGGTTTGCTGCTTGTCTTTGCTAGCTGATTGTGTCACCTCTTTTTAGCCTTTATTTATTTATATATATTTTAAATGCAGCATTACTTGAATATACAGGAGGGTTGTAATAATATATAAGGTGCTTATCACAGGGCCTAACACATACAGAGCCTTAAATACAGTGGACCCTCAAGTTAAAGAACAACCTGACATATGAACAACTTATGACTGCCATTTAGTTTTTGTTTTTTTCCTTTGGTTTTTTTGGTTTTGTGGTTTTTTTCCGGTACCGGGAATCGAACTCACAACCTCGCGCTTGCCAGGCAGGCGCTGTGCCACTGAGCTAAATCCCCAGCCCTTGCCGTTTAGTTTTAACTTACGACTCAAGTCTTGAGTTGTGACCCAAATGCCGGCCACTTGTGCCTCCAGATGGTCTCAGATGCAGATTTTTTACCTTTAAAAAGTTCTGGAAGGGGGGCTGGGGATTTAGCTCAGCGGCAAAAGCGCCTGCCTGGCAAGCGCAAGGTCGTGAGTTCGGTTCCCGGTACCGGAGAAAAACCAAAAAAAAAAAAAAAAAAAAGTTCTGGAAGGAACATTATAACATCCTTTCCTGAGATTAATTGAGAAATCCTGGGCTAATGTTACTCTAAGGACACTGAGAGACTTTGAAGGCTATGTAGAAGAGCCTGAACCTTCAGTTGACAAGTTGAGTTACAACCAGCCATTGGAAGTGAATTGAGTGTGTAAGTTAATGGTCCACTGTAAATGGAGCTCCTCCAAATAAAAACAAGAATTAGTACCTCATAAAAGGTGTTAAATAACTGGGATTTGTTCAAATACAAACAAGATTAGTACACTGGTATAGAATATAAGCTCAATTTCTCTTTCCTATTTGAAAAGAAAATTCACCTCTCCCTAAAGAAGAAAGAAAAGATATCTCTACTTAAAGTTTGCATGTTGTAGCTTTTCCTTCTTGAGTGATCATTGTCTGTGGTCTTTTCTCTGAGTAAATTATTATAAATATCTCTAGCTTTGTCAGTCTACTTAGGGAGATTTATTGGGGTTTGATCATAGTCTTCAATGGATCATATTATAATGAAACTAAATGGCTGCTTCAGCCTTAAAGAATCTGAAAAGCAGGTTTTTGGAATCCAAAAGATGAAAGTCATATACATACTAACTTTCAGTCAGTGACATGCCACATTTATGGTCTCGATCCTTTAAGATAATACTACATCATCTAGTGAAGTCAAAGCTGGCTTAGTGTAAATACATGCTGTGTATGATGTTCCCACAACAGTATGGTCCAGTGGTGCATTTCTCAGAACATATCCTTGTTGTTAAGGAACATGTGGCTGTCAGTAAATTGAGTGCCTATGTGTGTGTCTGTGTGTAAGTAAGTAAGTAAGTTCAATTGACCCTGGGGATTCAACTAATCATGGATAGAAAATTTTTAGACAGGGATGGAGATGTAACTCACTGGTAGAGTAGTTGCCTAATATGCACTAGGCCCTGGGTTCAATCTCCAATACCATAAACATTTTTAAAAAGGAAGCCCAGTGTGATGCCATGCCTGTAATCCCAGCACTTTGGAGGCTAAGGCAGGAGGGTTGCCATGAGTTTGAGGCCAGCCTGAGCTATAAAGTAAGACCCTCTCTCTCAAAAAAAAAAACTAAAGAAAGTATTTGGACTAAAAGAATGCATCTGGGGCCAGGTATGATGGTGCACACCTGTAATCCCAACACTTAGGAGGCTGAGACAGGAAGATCACTGCAAGTTTGAGGCCAACCTGAACTGCACAGTGAGACCGTGTCTCAAAAAATATAAATGAATAAATAAATAAAAATTTTAAAAATACATCTGTACTGAACATGTCCAGACTTTCTCTTATCCTTCCTAAACAATACAGTGTAACTATTTACATATTAGGTATTATAAGTAATTTAAAGATGATTTATTGTATATAGGAGACTATGCACAGAGTATATGCAAATCTGTGCTATTTTATATAAGGGAGTTGAAGCCAGGCATGATGGTGCGCACCTGTAATCCCAGCACTCAGGAGGCTGAGGCAGGAGTATCATTGCAAGTTCGAGATCAGCCTGAGCTACAAAGTGAGCTCAAGGCCAGTCTGAACTGCATAGTGAGACCCTGTTTCAGAAAAGACAAAATCAAAAATAAGGGACTTGAGCACCCATGATTTGGTGTCCACTGAGGGGGTCCTGGAACCAAACCCCCATAGATACTGAGAAATGACCATATATAAGAAGGTAGAAGAATGTCTTTCAAATACAAGCTTGGTATTCCTAAACCTGTAAAGTATCTGAAATTTCTCTTTAAAAAAAAAAATACTGGTTGCATGTCTTTGATTTTCAGCATTTATTATTTGAATTTCCTCATCTCGTCTCTGTCTGACTTTCTCTCTGGCTCAGGCCCTGAATTGCATAATGGAAATGGTGGAAAAAACCAGGCGCTCCATGGCAGTTCTCAGGCGCTGTCAGGAATCTGATCGGGAAGAACTGAACTACTGGAAAAGACGATTTAATGAAAATACAGAGTTGAGGAAAACAGGGACTGAGTTGGTCTCCAGGCAACACAGCCCCGGGAGTGCAGATTCTCTAAGTAGTGGTAAGGGCAGTGTCTGAAGGAAACCCAGAGCAAACACCAGCCTTTGGACCCCACCTGATGTGGCAAATCTATTTGACCTTAAAGAACACTGGTGCTAGATTGTGGAGTTGGGGAGACATGGGTGATTACAAAGAGTAAAGGAAAAAATATGGGGAGTCTTTGGTACCTGGAATATTCAAGAAATGCTCATTCTTCCTCATTGGAGAATCAATATACTTGTGAATTATTCTGTACGCGCACGCACACACATTGCATCATGATCAAAGAACATTTGATTGTGAAAGCCTGATTGAGGTCAGGCGTGGTGCAATAATCCTAAACCAAGAGTATCACAGGTGTGGACCCAGCCTGGGCAACTTTTTTTTTTTTTTTTTTTGGTTTTGGTTTTTCTCCAGTACTGGGAACCGAACTCACGACCTTGCGCTTGCCAGGCAGGCGCTTTGCCACTGAGCTAAATCCCCAGCCCCCAGCCTGGGCAACTTAGTGAGACCCTGTCTCAAAAAAGGGCTGGGAGTATAGCTGAGTCCAAAGGCCCAGAGTTCAATCCCCAGGACTGTGAAAAAAGTAAAGTCAGCCTGATTAAATGTATTACCTGTCAAGTAAAATAGTGTATGTCCTACCACTTCCGCTTTCACACAGCAATCAACACAGATTTTTATGACCTTAAAAGCTATGGGGATTTCTCCCCACCAGGAATAAGCAGTCCTATAATAATAGATAATATCTGAGCATTCTCTAACCCAATTGTTCTGATACTGTCTATCTGGAGATATTTTTAGATCTCAAGTCAAAAGGATCTGTCCACACGACTGCGTTTTCCCTGCACCTTCCTGTATGTAGATGCCAGTTATAAACTCCAGCTTGTTTTACTCATGCTACTGACCTGTTGGTTATAAATTAGCTTTCCTACAACCCCCTGCTTGGGTTCAGTTAATTTGTTTGACTGGCTCACAGAAATCAGAGCTATGATAGGAGTGGACCCCTATAATGCCAGCACTCTGAGAGACTGAGGCAGGATTATAAGTTTGAGCCCAGCCTGGGCAGTTCAGTGAGAGGGGATGTAGCTCTGTGTGAAGGCCATGAGTTCAATCCCAAGTACCAAAAAAACCCACACCAAAACCTCAAGGAAAATACATTAATCAGTTTTCTATAAAGGATATTACAAAGGGTACAGATGAAGTGATACACTGGCCAAGGTACAGGGTAAGAGCACAAAGCTTCCGTGCCTTCTCTGTACCTACCACCTTCCAGGAACTTGTACATGATGTTCAGCTAACCTAGAAACTCTAAGCCCTGTCGTTTAGGGTTTTATGGAAGATTTCATTATTAATCTAATGCCAACATACTGGACAAGGATACTCAGCAAGGCCTATCTTGCTTCAGCATTGAGGGAGGGCAGGAACTTACTATGCAATTCAGGACAGCCTTGAACTCACCTTATACCCCAGTTTGGCCTTGAATTCACAACAATCCTACCTCAGCCTCCTGAGCACTGGGATTACAGCTGTGTGCCAGTTTGCCTGGTACTTCAGCATTCTTGGCATCTCTGCAGCATTTCTTCCTCCAGAGTATAGGGTAGGACCTCCATGGAGTAAAGAGGATCTTAGAACCTGTTTTTAGGCAGATGTAGATTAGAGAATTTCTTTGTGGGCTGTTCCAAGACAGAAAAGGTAGCAGATCAGAAATTTTATAACCTACCTGATGGAAGAGAAATGCAAGTTTCTATGACCTCAGAGGAGTGACAAGCCAGAAACTGAGGACAGTATACCAAAATATGTGGTACACTGGTATAATATCACAGCTAGGTGCTTGGGTGTCCTAATTTATTCCTCACAGTGGCCCTAAAAGTGTTTGCTTCATTTTGCCTCTTTACCCCCAACTCCCCATTCAGGAAAATAACTTGCTGTCAACATTGCCCACTGGCTTCCTACAGAAAGTTTGACTGTACCAAGCTGGGTTGCCCCATTTTCCCTCTCCCTAACCTGACGCAGCAGAGACAACAGCAGCTCTTCTCTCAGGGCTATATCCAAAAAGCCCAGTTTAGTCCCTACTACCACCAGCAGTTCCACCACTTTCACCCAGTAATGAAAAGGTGCCCCATTCAAATGCATAGCTGAATGACAGACCATCTGTGATCACACTCTTTACCCACCCACTTTTTTAAAGTTCCCAAATGTTCACCAAGGAAAATTAATTTCTTATGACAGAACTAGCATGTTCCAGAAAAGGCAGGTATTAGTCTCAAAAAGACTGCAAGAAAAAAAAAATGGAAGCAAAGCCAAAATTAGTATCTTGTCCAATGCCGAGTGGCTGAGGTATCCCACTCTCCCACCTCTCCCAACAGTCATGGCCTTTGAGCCAACCACAGACCAGCACCATTCTGTGGGTGTCTAGCACAGCATGATCTCAGTAGTTACAGCTATGGTGTGATTCTTTTGATTGAAAACTTCAGAAACAGGTCTCCCTCACCATCTAATCACTTACACGTATTCCTTGTGACAGCTTGGAAACATTACTGAGTTCTCCATCCAAGCCGCCACCTCTCATCAGTGAGTGTGCATATGTGCAGGTGAGTGGTAGCGTGCAGGCTCGCTGTCGCTACAAGCCAGCTGTTCTTTACCTAGGATTACAGATCTTGCTGGGGTCATGTAAACAGTGCTGTGCATTACCACTACTCATCCTTCTCACCCTTGGGGGTCGGGGGTAACCATAATTTTATATTTTCCTGGGATAGTCCTAATTTACATCTGTATTCTGTCATAATTATTGCTATCATCACACTCCAAAATAAGGACAATTTGGCAATAAATTGTATTGTCACTATAGGTTTATAATTTCATAGATTCCAGCATTTTGTTTGTTGTGGTTTGTTTTTATGCTGGAGAATGAACCCAGGGTCTTCATATTGAGTTATTTTTCCAGCCCTTTAATTTTGAGACTTAATTTTGGGCATTAAATTGCCCATGCTGGGCTCACTTAAGATCCTTCTACCTCAGTTCAGTCTCCCAGAGTAATGGAATTACCATCCCAGCTCAGTGTTATCATATTTTTTAGGGTATTATCTGCCTCTCTGACTTAAATAATATCTTTTAATATCATGATCTATACTTACAAAATGTTTTTTTTCTCATACACATTATTTTAGTGTAAAAGATAAACATAGTTCATATCCTGAACAAACATGCTGCTTAGACTGTGGACTAAAACTAGGAAAGCTGTTAACTGATCTGTGAAGAGAAGCTTGTACCAGGATATATTGGGCCCTGTTTCATCAAGGAAGTCGTCAGCCAGACTACACAGTGCGCTGGAAGACATAGTTGTTTTGCATTCTGGCATAAGTTTTCTCTCTAGGACCAATAACAGTACTTTGAGTAGCATTCTCCTCCATTGGGTAGTATTCTTGGGCAAAACAAATGAACAGATTCACCAAGTGACTTAAATAAGGAATTGGTGGGATTTTTCGGTTTACAGGCATCTGGAAATTTGTATATGTGCTGCCGAATCAAGAGCAGGCATCTGAAAATTTGTCATTCATCTAAATAAGTACAACTATAAAGAAAAAGAAAGTTCTTCTCACAGAAGCTAAGAGAATGATTTCCTCTTGAGTTTATGGGGGAGTGGGCAGTTAGTGAGCTCTCTCTCACTCTTCACTGGCCCATCTTTGGATAGGATACCAGTCTAGCTAGCTTTGTTTTGTTTTTAAGCATCATTTACACGTTGATATGACTCACACTACTACTTACATGTTGAGGATCTGGAGTTGCTGGCAGCTTCATTTCATGGTACTGGGGATTGAAAGCAGGGCCTTGCACATGCTACACAAGCACTGTATCACAGCTGCATCTCCAACCTTGTGTTCCCTGTCTTGATCTGAGGTTTATGGGTATTCCCTGTCACCTGACCCTCTGAGGAGGTTCCCACCATACCCATGAAATTAAATTACAGGTTCACTGGCTTTAGTAGCAGAAAAAGAATTTTTAGGACTAATCATTAAGAGGAATGGGAAGGGTTTATTAGAAATTTTAAAGTACACACTTGAAAAAGCAGGGCATGGTGACACACACATGTAATCTCAGCACTCAGGAGGCTGAGGCAGGAGGACCTGTGACTTTGAGACCAGCCTAAACTATGTAGCAAGACCTTGTCTCAAAAAACAAAACAGAAAAAAAAAAAAAAAAAACTAATAAAACTACACCCTCAAGAACAGTCCCTCAAGAGAGAACAGCCCCTTATGATGTGGAGTTGGATATACTGTATTTTGGGAGTTTTAGGGGTATCTTCAAGACTGATGATACAGGATGTATATTCCTGCTGTCTGTCAGGTCACCCTTCCAGCAGGCTATGTTAGAATGCAATCCACTTTACGTGTGTTGGGAGTTGAGATCTGCAGCGTATGAATATTGCTGCTTCCTTGAGGGTGGAGATCTGTGAAAGGAAGCTCAATTTTCTGGAGAAAAGCACAGGCCCAGACCCCAGTTTACAGGCTTAACTGTATCTTTAATACCCTTAGCAATTTTTTTAGTGCATTTCCTGGAAGGAAAAAAGACCTGAGTAACTTTGTATCCCGAAACTGCAGTTTTTCTTAAAAGTACAGTTTCCTTTTCTCCTTTGTACCTTCTTTTTATCCTACCTCATTTACTTCATTAAATTTTGCTTTAATATTTTGAAATTGTTCACCTAATTTGCAAATTAAAAGTTTTTTAAAAGGAAAGAAATGGACTCAGCTATTAGTTTTTCCTCACAGTGAGTGTCAACCTCAGTTTTTACTACAAATAAATGTTCCAGGTCCTTCCCTGGAAGTTAGGACTCAGGGACTGAAGAACCTGATTATATATATGTTTAGTGGGTCCCGAGGCAAATACATTTGGGAAACTGTAGTCACAGTCAGGTGGATAGGCCCCATCTCCTGTTGGATTTCATGTAGCTTTTTAGTGGCATGATGAGCAGTTAAAGGTGACCAGACTCCAAGGATAAGCTTCTAATGTTAAAGGTAGAAACTA